GCTTGACAATTAGATTCTTCCTCTTCTTGAGCACAATCTGTAACAAAATGCCATTAATTTATATAAAATGATAGGAGAATAAATAAATTTACATAATTGAATATTAGTTTTATACATAAATACATAAAATCTGTGTTATTTTATCGAGAAGGATAAGCTAATGCAGCAAGAACGTGGTACCGCGGAAGGGAAAATTTCAAACTTACATTTCCATTAAATAAATCTTTCTCGGTTATTTTCACGTTTTTCACTTGTTTCAACGACAAACACTCTGAAAAAACCACTTTAAACTGCAAATTATGCGGGAGCGAAAGCAACGCGGTTTCCTTACGAGAAATTCAAACGCACTATGGTCGCTCGAACGTGATTGGCCGAGAATATTGCAAACTTTTCCCGCCATTTCTCGCCACATTTGAATCGCGCGGGAATGCATGAAAATGTCAAACTCACATCTCGTTTAAATTATAAGAAAATTCGTTGCAATAAACGCCTCGCAATGATTTATTTATTATTAATTCTATTATTACTATATTATAGAATTATTTTCCCGCTTATATTATTAACAACAAAATAAAAATAAATAAATACAAAATATACATTCTCTCTGTTTCAATATTAAATTTTCGTCCATGACGTCGTTAATCAACATTTTAGAAAACTTTTGACTATACTTGTACCTCATTTCATTATATTTTTACTGTTTACTAATTAGAAGATCAGCGCCTGCAGATATGCAACCTTCTTGCACCCCTGTACAACACACCATCAAGTCAAGCTGACATAAAATAATTAAATCGATAACGATAAACTTATTAATTGTTTCAGACGATCATTAATTTATGTTTCTATCTATAAATTAAAATCCCTCAATTGTCACCTCGTTAAATGCAATTCTAACACAAAAATCAAGTGTACAGCACACTTCTTTGTTCCAAGATTCCTTTATTCAATTACTAGTACACTTTAATTGTACATTTTACATTGCTTTCTGCATTTATTCGTCTTGACGAAGCACTTACTGCTTTCCAATTTCATTTTATCCCATGGGAACGTGATATTGCAGACTGGCAGCTGAAGTTCTCGGTCCTGGAGCGTCATTGGTGTCCGAGGGATGTATAAATAATTAATGAAACGGGCGAATACTCTCAACGATGCTGCCTTATCGCGAAACGTCAAGATTCAATGAAAATAATGCTCGAACAAATCAATTACAATTCAATAATCAATGTATCTAACAGGTGAAACTTACTCTGCCAAAAAACTCGACTTCCTTCAAATATTTCTGTAACTTGGTCATCCACAAGTCGAATTGTTCGTCGACAGCAACGTTTGGTACATTATTTTCCACGTGGAACGTATGCAAACTTCTCCCGAGTCTCTTATCGTTCAGTCGTTTCAAATATTTATCCTTATATCGTCGCACATCGTTCTCCAAACTTATTATTCCGAACTTGGCCACCGTGATTAGATTAGCGAATTCTGACATTGCCAAACGAAGATCTGCTTCGGCCACGAGAAGATCCATCCTTCTCGGTTCTCGTATTTCACTAATTCAATTTTCCAAAGTATACATGCAAAATTTCTAATACAATCGCAAGAGAGAATAGATTTTCGAAATCTGTTTTCCTCGTGTCATTTATCGGTAACCATACAAACTTGTCCCTTGAAATTTCGCAACTATATTCAAACTGTAAAGCATTTATGCCAACTATAGTAACTATAATATAAAATTGTTATTTCTTATTTCAAAAAAATTTAGTTCCCGAATAAAAACCTTTAGGAAAAACACATTTATTCTTACAGTATACACTAACTATTCTATCATTTTTAACAAAACCAATGTTATTTAATGCGATAACCAAAGAAATAACGTTTCAAAGTGATACCGCCGTACTAACTTCATTCAAATTTCATCAAATCAGATCAAATTAGATCAAATTTCCATATTTGGAAGAGTAACTCGCAAACAAACGGTTCAATTACTCAAACAGCAAAAGATCAGTGTATAATTTCTTTTCATTATTTAAGCAATCGATATATAATTTAACTTCATCTGCTGAAGGTTTCGTATATTTCAAAGAATCTTCGTCAAAGGGTTAAAGGGTTAAAGTTAAAGAACAGCGGAAAATAAAGTCGCCCTCGTCAAACTCTTCGCGACCGAATCCAATTAAAACAGCGAATCGATTGGAAATTAACTTGGTCGCGGAAAGAAGGGAATTTCCCCAGATGGAGAAAGTTCCGCGATAGTTTCGCTCGGTTTTCAGTCTGCATCTTAGCGAAACGCAGCGAAAAACGATCGAACAATTGACAGAGGCATGTAAATGAAATTACGGACCAGTCACCCCGCAATTGCTCGTTATCGGAAAGGCGATTGCAATTTATTCGAGCGTTTTGTTGACCGCTCGGACGTGGAAATTTACGAGCGAAGCCTTCGGAAACTATTTACTCGCCGCCGCGAGAGATATTTACGAGTGTCAAAGGTGTTTGCTGAAATCTGAGGCACCAGTCGTTTTTTTATGGACTCCTGTTCTATCTTTATTATAAAAGTCCCTGCACGTCGGACGGTATCGTGCGCGATAACTTGTTCAAGTCGCTTTCATACGCGCAGATTGCAAAACGTCGAATTGGCCGAGCTAACGATGGCTGAAATCAGAGTGCATTAGGAAAATAAATGATTATCTGAGAACAAATCGATTTATTCGTATGATCATTTTCGTAAATTTATGTATTACAGTTATTCCATGGCGATTCCATAAGGTAAAATGAAATCAGAAAGGAATAATTGCTGCTTTAAGATGAATAAATGAGAAGAACAATGTGAAACAATTAAAGGGAACTAGTAATTAACTGAAGGGATCTTAGAACAAAAAATCTGTATTTGATTTTCACGTTCTAGATGCATTTATTGAACTGACAAGAATTCGATGAGTAGAAACATAAATTAGACGTCGTTAGAAACGATTGATAAATAATTTGATTTCGTTACTTTATTTGTGAAAGTTCTTAGAATAAAGTATGTTCGGATGGTAGAAACATCGATAGATAATGCGAGAGTTTTTCATGTGAATGCGAAGTTTCTGCAATGAAATTTTCAAAATGTAGAATGACTCATTTTATTAGTTATCAGGCTGATAAAGCAATTACATAATGTAAACATCTTGAAGTTCAGATCAAGAGAAAGTTTCGTACAACTTATCGGCTTCATTGATAAACGAAGAAAACACTTCTGTTTTTTGTAGAACGGGATCAACAATATTTATCGAAAATTGCAGTAGAGTGTAATGGAAGAGAACAGAAAAATACAATAGCTAGTGTTGCATGATGCAGATAATAATGCAGGCGTTAATATCTCCTCCCTTGTTTTCTTATTTTTCAGTTCAATTTTTGTTTGACGTGCTCAAGTATTTTCTTGACCATAAGATTACCATTTCACGTCGATGAGAAATTATTTGGGTCACCTTTTCATACTGTGGTTCTACTCAAAAAAGGAATTCTGTAATTTTTTAAAACGCAGGATTTAGGAGTTTTTGAGCTTACGACTTTCAAAATGTAGAAGTTTCGGAGTTTGTGTCTTAAGACTTTCAAAATTAAAAAGTTTTATGAGTTTAGAATTGAAGACATTTAAAATTTAGAAGTTTTAGAGGTTGAAACTTTTAGATTGTAGAAGTTCTGAAGTTTCAAAGCTCGAGACTTCTCGATTTCAGAAGTCTCAGAGTTTTAGATCAAATTTTTCGAATCTAGACGCTTTACGGTTTCAAAGCCTGAACTTTTAGATATTAGAAGTTTCCGAATCTCAGATTCTAAAACTTTCAGAATCCAGTAGTTCCAAGATTTCAGAGTGAAAGATTCCCAAGATTTAGAAGCTCCAGAGCTCGAAACCTCTAGATTCTAGAAGTTCCAACGCTGAAGGCTCCCAAAATTAAACGCGTCAGACGCAAGACTTGAGAATCTCGAGATTTTCAAGCTGCAGCGTCTCAAAGGTGAACAAAGCAGATATTTTTTTGGTAACAAAACATCTTTCGACAGATGCGTGTGCCAATAATCAATGGTAAAAACACGCGACACGTTTGGGGCGGTATCGTCGAGAAACGATATGGGTCAGAAGTTCAGAGCGATTACTTTATTCCGAATAAGTATAAAAGCGGCCGGTGCAAGCACACCCCGCCACACATCGTCCGATCCGGTGAAAGGTAAGGGCGTGCAAAGCTTTTCCGAAAGAAAAAGGGGAGATGCTGAAGATCACGTTGTTGCTGGCGCTCGGCGCCGTTTGCGCCGTGCACGGCGCGAGGTTCGAGGAGAACCGCACCGCCAACATGGAATTCCTGCACAAGCAGAAGAAGATCTACGATCTTCTTCTCTACGTCAATCAGGGGGACCTGATCGACGCTGAATTCTACGAGACTGGCAGAAACTACAACCTGGAGAGCAACATCGACATGTACAAAGACAAGGTGACCATTTTTCCTTCCTACGATTTCACGCGTTTTTCGAACGCCGATTTGTAATAGGTTGAAAATTAGATCCGAACGATTTACAGTCGAGCAACTGGATGTTTCTAAAACTGTGTCCAGCGAAATTCGAATCGATTTGTCGGTTGGTTTCAGTATGCCGCGCAAAAGTTCATCTGGTGGTACAAGCAGGGATCGTTGCTCAGCCGCGACGCCATCTTCTCGATGTACAACCAGGAACAACTGTACGAGATGCAACAGCTGTTCGAGCTGCTGTACTCGGCGAAGGACTTCCAGACCTTCTACAAGACAGCTTGCTGGGCCAGGCTTAACTTGAACAACGGCGTCTTCGTCTCTGCCTTCACTGTCGCTGTGATGTACAGGGAAGACTGCAAGTACATGATACTGCCAGCGATCTACGAGATCTACCCCAATCTCTTCTACAGCTCCAACGTGATCCAAGATGCACAGAACATCAAAATGTCGAAAGGTAGTGTTCTGTGGATAATTGTTCTGGGGAATATTTGTTTCTTTTACGTTTGAACGCCTTAGTTTAGGAGCTTCGAGCGTTGGAGCTTCTGAATCTTAGAGATCAGCTTTTAAAACCCTGAAGCTTTGAGATTTTAAAAGCTTGAAAACTATGAAGCTTCTAGAGTCTAGAAGTTTTAAGCTCTGAAACTCTAAAGCTAATTGTCAAAGGCTTCGAGCTCTGAAGCCCTAGAGCGTCGAAAATCCAGAAACTTCAAGCTCCGAAGCTCTAAAAATTCCAAAGCCGAAAAGTCTCAAGTTCCAAGACCCTAAAGCTTCTAAAGTCCAGAAATCTCCAGCTCAACCCCTAGAATGTCTAGATTCAAAAAGTCTCAAGTTCCACAACCCTAAAGCCGCTAAAGTCCAGAAATTTCAAGCTCAAACCCTAGAATTTCTACATTCAAAAAGTCTCAAGCTCCAAAACCCTGTAACCCCCAAAATCCTTAACAATCCATCCCTCGGAAAAGTCGATTTTTCGCAAAAGTCGATTTTTCGCAAAAGTCGATTTTGCTCCCTCAAATTCATTCTTCGAAGAAAACGGATTCCCAGACCTCAGCAAAAATTTCTGAAAACGTCTGTTCAGCTTTCAGCGGAGCCCCAGCGATCGGAAACGTAGAATCGTACACGATCTACGCGAACTACTCCAGAGCTTACATGCCCTACATCGACTCCGAGTACAAAATGGACTACTTCATGGAGGACCCAAGCTTGAACGCCTACTACTACTACATCCGACAGATGAACCCGTTCTGGATGTCCAGCAAATACGGAAGCATCTCGCAGGAAGTTCGTGGAAGGATTTACTACTACGTTCACCAGCAACTGATGGCTAGATACTACTTGGAACGCATGTCGAACGATCTTGGTAAGATCGAGGACTTCGACTGGTACAAGCCCATCTACCCTGGATTCTTCTCCACTCTGACGTACGCGAACGGTGTCCCCGTCCCACAGAGGAACAAGTACTCGTCCATCCCCTTCTACAAGTACAAGTATCTTAAGGTGAATATACTTAGCTTGTACATAAACTTGTTCGCTTAATGATTTCGATTGAGAACTTTAGTTAACAGTCCTGGTATTTTTGGAATTACTGTATTGTCTTGGTAGAGAATTGAGTTGAAATTTGAAGTATTGTTTCAGTAATTGTAGTATTGCTTTGAAAATTGCAGTATTGTTTCAGTAATTATAGTATTGCTTTGAAAATTGCAGTAGTGATTCAGTAATTGTAGTATTGGTTCAGTAATTGCAGTATTGCTTTGATAGTCGAAGCATTCATTTGAAAATTGCAGCATTGCTTTGATAGTTGAATCATTGATTTGAGAACTGCACTAGTGATTAAGTAATTGTAGTATTGATTCAGTAATTACAGTATTGCTTTGACAGTTGAAGCACTGATTTGAAAATTGCAGCATTGATTCAGTAATTGTAGTATTGCTATGGAAGTTGCAGCATTGATTTGAGAACTGCAGCATTGATTTACTAATTGCAGTATTACTTCAAGTGTATTACTAGAGAAAGTACAGTGTTGCTTCACCAACTACAGTGTTTCAATAGCTAGAGTATCGAGTACAGGATTGCCTCAGTAACCACAGCTGCTTCAATAATTGCATCACTTTGAAAGCTACAGTTCAAAAACTCCTGTTAACCAATGAAGTACCAACGAACGATTCTCTATTCCAGGACGTCATGGCCCTGGAAATGCGCATAATGGACGCCGTCGACTCCGGCTACCTCTTAGACGAGGAAGGAAAGAGAATAAACATCTACACACCGGAAGGTTTGTACTTACTCGCGAACGTGATCGAAGGAAACATGGACTCCTGCAACAGGAGATTCTACGGCATGTACGACGCCCTCGCTCGCGACATCCTTGGCTTCAGCTTCAACCAGCAGAACAAGAACAAGCAGATCCCCAGCGCACTGCAATGCAATGCCATGAACATGAGAGACCCCTCGTTCTACATGCTCTACAAGAGAATCATGAGCTACTTCCTCAGGTACAGTGCTCAAACTACCTGTCCACTTCGAAGATTTCGTTTTCAACCTTTCTTATACAAATTAGAACAGTTCTTGAGATTTGAAGCTTTTCGTTGTTGAATTTAGTCCATAGAATAGTTTAATACGATCATGGTGATGGAATTTATGAAGTGACTGATTTAATAGTTCAAATCGTTGAGTGCTAAGTTTTTAACGTACAATTTTTCGTGTGATTTTTTCAGATACAAGAGAAACCAACGCATGTACTCCCAGTCTGAGCTGGTGCTGCCTGGAGTGAAGTTCGATTCCGTGAACGTCGACAAGCTGACCACCTACTTCGACTACTGCGAGACCCTTATCAACAACGCTATCGCCGTTGAGAACTTCAACCGTGGAAAATCCCTGCGCCTCAAAGCCCGCCGCCTTTGTTTGAACTACAAGCCGTTCTCTTACAAGTTCAACATCAACTCTGACAAAGAGATGAAGGCTATGCTGAAGATCTTCCTTGGACCAGACTACAGAGACGTGGAACAGGACTATGTCTACCTGAAGAAGTACTACTACCAGTTCGTCGAAATGGACAGATTCATTGTGAACCGTGAGTAAAATGATCTTCGAGGTTTTCGAGTTATAGAGGTTCGAATTGTAGGTTTCAAGTTGTAGAGATGTTTGGATTGTAGGATTTTTGAAATTATGGAGACTCCAAATGTTCGAACCATGGAGATTCGAATTACGAAACTTCCAAGTTTTAGAGATTCAAATTACGTTTTCAATTTATAAGAATTCCCAAACTCTAGAGAGTTTCAAGTTATAGAAGCTAATCCATAGAAACTCAAACTACAGAAATTTCCAAACTATAGGGATTCGAATCACAGAAACTTCCAAGTTATAAAGATTCAAACTATACTTTCAATTTATAGCAATTCCCAAACTCCAGAGATTTTAAAATTATAAAAATTTCTAAGCTACAAAAACTCAAACTACAGAAATTTCCAAACTATAGAGATCCAAATCATAGAAACTTCCAAGTTACAGAGATTCAAACTACATTCTCAGTTTACAAGAATTCCCAAACTCTAGAGACTTTCAAGTTACAGAAGTTTCTAAGCTACAAAAGCTCAAACTACAAAAACTTCCAAACAGTTTCAAATCGCAGAAACTTCCAAGTTACAGAAGCTTCTAATCTATAGAACCTCAAACTACACAAACTTCCAAACAGATTCAAATCGCAGAAACTTCGGAAACCCTAATCTAAACCCACCCTCTTTCTTTCCAGTCCGCCCCGGAGCGAACAACATCGAGCGCCAGAGCTCGGAGTCAATGTTAACGATGCCGGACATGATGCCGATGAACATGTTCTTGGAGAAGCTGAACAAGGCGATCAGCGGCAGCGCGCCGTTCATGTACTCCAACAGACAGTTCGGTTTCAGCGAACGCCTGACCCTGCCCAAAGGTAAACCAGAGGGCATGAAGTACAAGATGTTCTTCTTCCTGAGCCCGGTCGACGAGGGCAGCATGCGCGAAAACGAGTACCCGATGTTCGGCAAGATCCTGACCGACGGCAGAGCACCTGGATTCCCATTGGACAGACCAATGTACGCCTGGAACTACACCATTCCCAACATGGCGTTCAAGGACGTGATGATCTACAACTTGGTCGAATAGACACCGGAAACCGGCCGATCCACACGTGGATCTTCGAGATTCTTAGATTAACCTTGTGACATGAGACTCGTTTAATAAAGAAACATGAATATATTTGTGTCTTTTCTTTTGTTGCATTTGGGTAACTTGGGAGGGATGGTCTTTTTGGAATTACTGCGTTATGGAGGTTATTGGTTCATAAGGAAATTAACCGTTCGGATGCTAAACTTTCGTGGATATTTACCGAAAATGTGATTGGGTGTATGCGAAAAATTAATAAGAGTAGTTATCTAATGAAATCACAGATATTGTTTTATTACAAAAGAATAACATTTATTCAAATAAATTTACTTTGATTTATTTCTTGAAGAACATCGTAAGAAAATTATAATTAAGCGTCGAAATCCAGTGGTAATGAGATCGAGCTGTTTTACCTGGAATTATGTTGATTAGGAGATCGAAGACGCTTTGATGACCCAGGCGATGACGAGGTTTGGCTGCCAAGAAGACATCTTGAGACTATTTTACGTTCATGAGAAGAAGTTCCCTTGAACCTTTATGTTATGTTATGTCAAAGAGGAGAATACTAAACTGCTTCTTATTTTTATTCATTTTAGTTTCCACTGATTCGAACGTATTTTTCAAGCAGCCTATACAGTTCCTCCGTTTCTCCCGTTCACAATATTTTCGTCAGCCTTCCGAATCAATTATCCTGCAGACATTTATCCATGAAATGAAACAAAAATTAGCTGAAGAATTTTAGATCTTCAAATTTTTCGAATCTAGACGCTTTACGGTTTCAGAAACTTTTACATATTAAAAATTTACGAATCTCAGATCCTAATATTTTCAGAATTCAGTAGTTCCAAGATTTCAGAGTTAAAGATTCCCAAGATTTAGAAGTTTCAGAGCTCGAAACCTCTAGATTCTAGAAGTTCCAACACTGTACCTCGAAACATCGAAGTAATTAAAAGCTCTGCCAAATGCAACAACGTTTGACAGTAATTTTACAGAATTTAAAGTGTCTCAAATTATTCGTTTCATTTCTTCATTCTGTAAAATGTTCAGCTGCTGCACGCTACAAGTCATTTTCTTAATGATACGCCATTTTTGACACATGATGTCATTTTTAATCGGTGTGCCGCTGAAATGGCTCGCTCTGTCAGATATCTTTGACATATTGCCGTCATTTCTTTCATTTCACATTTTTTTCTTGCAAACAACTTTCCCTAACATTCCACTGTACAGATAATTAGTAACATTAATTAGTACATCAATTCTTTAACCTATTAACACTAGAACTACCGAACGCTAAAATTGACTTTCTAAAATTGTTCTAAGGAAACTCTAAGAATCTATCGAGATTTCAATTCATTTACAATTCAGTTTGCACAGTAATTTCTCAGAGAATTGTCTGGTATCTTTTCAATAATTGTAAAAAGAATAAACAATAGTAGTTTTAGTGTTAATACAGATGAGCATGCTGTGGAAATTCTTGGAAGACTGTTGTGAATATCAATAAATAAATCATTCGCGAGATTTAAATGCAGTTTTCCTTTGAAACTATGATTATTCGATGATAACAGGCTTATCTCGTCCGCCGATGATCCGATAGGAGCCGGATGATCAAAGTTTCTCGATGATTATACCGAGCAATGATAAAGTGACACTTTCACCGAGATATCGGAGGTCAGAGGTCGTTGATTTCGCTCGTCGGAGAACGATGCGACGTTAAATGCCGCGTATCGGGCAGTTATCAATCGCGAATTACTCTTTATTGTAATCTAAATATATATAAATACTCATATTTTTAAATTTAAATACAGAGATTTCACTGGAGCTTACGTCTTCGTTAAATGCGATTAACTGAAACATTCGATTCAACTTTACAACGTGTTTCGTTGATCGAATCGAATGTTCCCCGCGCGATTTCGATGTATCGTAAATTCACGTACGAAACGAGAAGATATTGTTTGAACCATTCATATAATTTAAGAATCAAAATTGTGTCAAACATTTTAGAATCAGCATTATGTAAACCCCTTAGAAATTGAAACTATTTGAACGATTCAAAGATCGAAATCATTCAGACAATTTAAAAATCAAAATTGTGTCAAACATTTTAAAATCAGAATTATGTAAACCGCTTAGAAATTGAAACAATTTGAACGATTCAAAGGTCGAAATCATTCAGACGATTTAAAAATCAAAATTGTGTCAAACATTTTAAAATCAGAATTATGTAAACCGCTTAGAAATTGAAACAATTTGAACGATTCAAAGATCGAAATCATTCAGACGATTTAAAAATCAAAATTGTGTCAAACATTTTAAAATCAGAATTATGTAAACCGCTTAGAAATGAAACTATTTGAACGATTCAAAGATCGAAATCATTCAGACGATTTAGAAATGAACATCATTCCAAATATTTTAACATCAAAATCATGGATACCATTTAGAAACCAAGATTATTTGAATAATTAAAAAATCTGAATCCCTTAAGAAACTAAAAAGAATTGTCATTCGATGATGGAAACATCTGAACGTCTCGCAATCCGAACGCCAGCCAATAACGCGTTGTTTTCATTAACAATCTCCCTCCCCCGCGGCATTACAACATTGTAACATTGTTACGTCGTCGCGCGTTAGTTATGTATTTGTACCTGATTATGACAGAGTTTATCGAGAGGCGTCTGGTAAACAGGATTACCGCTTCATCGGATGATCTGTTTGTCATTTCCAGCGGATCCGTCAGTCATTTACAGCGTGCAGATAATGCAATCGCGTTGATACTCGTCCCAGTCGCGGTTCTGTAACACAATCAGCGAACGGTTGCGTAACGGACTGCAGCAACCGTGCGAAAAAAGAAAGCAGCAATTAACGTGAATCACTTAAACATGCGTTCACGTTGATAACGAGTGCTGCCCGTATTCTTTCGAATGTATGTCACCGTATCCGAGCATTTTCACGTATGAAAGCGTCATTCAATTGTAAATAAACACCTCTTATCAGTGGATTGTAATTGTCTCGGTTCATTGTATCCACGTTTCGCTGAATATGTTTACTTTCGTTGGACATCGAGGAGTTAATTAATGAAACGTACTTTTCGACTCGATCTTAGTGGTCGATCGTTTTAGCTGTTTCCGATTAAACGAGGATTGTTGAAGACGTTTCACATGAATTATTAAATATTAGAGTATGCGATCGTCTGTTGTTTATAGAATTTGATTAATTGATTGCGATTTCTCGCTGTAGCGGAGGCCAAAGGTTGAGTAAACGAATGAACGTTACACTTCAATCGATCGGAAGTGATTGAAAGTAATAAGGAAATTTTTAATGGAGTTATCGAAGTTAATAAGTTAATTATTGATGAAGTACTTGCAGTATTGTATAACAATAATTACAGCAGCAGGATTATTAACACTAATATTAGATTAATACCATCAATTTATCGTTAAGCTATCATCAATCTCTATTTGCATTGTTTCCCATAACTCAACAGATGCTTAGTTAACTCAACAATATCAATATCAATATCATATTGTGTCAATAATCCTGCTGTCACTGTTATGTTAGTAATACTGATACTAATATTATTCCTCTGTAATCAATAATTTCTGTGAGATGAAATGTTCAGATTCGGAAGACCAAGTCATGGAAAAATGATCTAATTAGTCGAACAGTAAGAGATCAGCAGTTTTCTTTCTTTCTATTAATTAGGCAATTGATATATAATTTAGCTTTACATGTCGAAGGTTTTGTACGTTTCAAAGAATCTTCGTCCGCAAAGGGTTAATACCATCAATACCATCATTAACACAACACAATTAACACAATACTCCCATTAACCCTTTGCGGACGGATGTTAGTATTTCGGTGAGATGAAATGTTCAGATTCGGAAGACCAAGTCGTGGAAAAATGATCTAATTAGTCGAACAGTAAGAGATCAACGCATAGTTTCCTTTCTTTCTACTAATTAAGCAATTGATATATAATTTAGTTGAAGGTTTCGTATGTTTCGAAAAATCTTCGTCCGCAAAGGGTTAATACCATCAACTAACCCTTGCCAAGCTACCATCAACCATTTACCCACAATTTCCCATCATCCAACAAACTCCATACACACAGCATACACAGCACCCACAATAAACGCTAAATCCTTAATTATCTATCGACTATTACGATAATAGTCCGGCGAAAGCAGATAAACCAGCCTCGCGACCTTATCCCGGACCAGCGAACGATAAACTGTCGGGATTATCGTCGACCTGCAAGCATTTCGGCAGAGTATATAAGCCGAGGACGGTCCCAAAAGCAGTAACTCTGGTTCCTAGTCCCAGAATGATGAAGTCAGTGCTGTGGATCCTGGCCGCCGTGTGCCTGTCGGTGCACGCCGCGCACCTGCCCACCCAGACCGCCGACAAGACGCTCCTCCACCAGCAGAGGGACATCTACGAGCTGTTCTGGCACGTCGACCAGCCCACCGTCTACATTCCCAAGCTGATCGAGAAGTCTCGCACCTTCAACATCGCCGATAATGTCAACAACTACGAGGACCAGGTACGGAAAACCGGGGAACGCCCGTTCTCCAGACACGCGTCTCCTCGAATAACGATCGTTGACCCTTTGCACTCGAAAGTTTCTCACTGGGAAATATTTAACATTCTCCGACGAGATATAGACGACACTGTTTAAAACTAATTTAACGAAAATTCATGGATTTAACGAAAATTTCCATTGCTGATCGAACTCTTGAATGATTGGAGAAGAGAGAATTATACCGATCTTTCAGTGATTCGATCGTTCGCTCGTTGTAGATTGAAATGCTTGAGGGCAGTGGAGAATATGGAAGCTCCAATTGGAGAAACGGGGATTAAAGGAGATAGACTTGAGGAATATGGGGCAACTGGGACGTTTCATTGGAAAGTGCATTCAGGTTTAGTCTAATTGTTTCGAGAAGCAATGCAAGATTCGATGCATTTTTTAGGAGAGAGTCTTTTATTTGAGGAACTGATTAACTATCTGAAACGAGAGATATTCAAATTTTATTTGTCTTGATATATGAAGGACCAGTTTGTCGTTTCAACTGTAGAACTAAAAGATATTAGGGGAATACAGTTGGATAAGTATTTAGAAATCATTACAATTCATTTTCAATAACCAAACGTTCGGACTAACAATTTAGTCCATTTTCAATAACCAAACGTTCGGGCTAACAATGTAGTTTATTTTCAATAACCAAACGTTCAGACTAACGGTTCTTATTCTCAATAATCAAATATTAATCTAGCAATTCAGTTGAACAGCGAAAGACAACGATCAAACTAAAAATCCTCAGATTTCATCTGACTCCCTCGATCCGAATTCATCCCCTAATTCTGTCTAATTCGATTGGTTGCAGGAAGCCATAACGGAATTCATGAGCATGTTGCAACATGGAATGTTGCCACGTGGGAAAATCTTCACGTTCATGGACCCGGCGATGAGGCACGAGGCCAACATCCTGTTCCGCGTGTTGTACAGCGCCAACTCGTACAACACCTTCTACAACACCGCTGTCTGGGCCAGGTTCAACGTCAACGAGATGATGTTCATCTACTGTCTGAGCTCCGCCGTCATCCACAGAGCTGACCTCGCCAACGTCAGGCTGCCCCCGCTGTACGAGGTCATGCCTCACCTGTACTTCAACGAAGACGTCATGCTTATGGCCACTAGGGTCGCCATGGGCGAAACTAGTTAGTATATACATTCTTCATATGAACTTTAGAGAGCCGAAGCTTTGAACTTAGCCTGACCTAGCTTTTCGATTTGTTAGATAGTGGAGCAGTTAGACAATCTTCGAATTTGCCTTTTTCATTGTTAAACGTAGCTTTGTAGCTTTCAAGTTTGCTGTTTTTATTGTTAACGTAGCTTTTTGATTCGTTAGATAGAGATATTGTTAGGACAGTTTAGAGTTTCCTTTTTTCTTTGTTGGAAGGCCTAGATTCTGTTTTTATCTATGATTAGCTGAATTAAGGGAATGATGGTAATTAATAAGTCCTTGAAGTAGCTTTTGTTCTAACAGATCAGGCTGAAATTACAAATTTGGAAGGTCTAGATCATGTTGCTGTCTTCATCGTGTAATAATTCATAAAAAGTCACGATAATAATTAATAACCAATAATTAACGTCACTGTCGCACAGTTCGAGAAATTCCTAATATTCAAGACCTACGTTATTCCTATCTCTAGCGTATACTAATTAATTTAGAATTATTATTGTCAATTTCTATAAGTTTACAGCTTATTTCTAGTAGTTAGCATTTAGTTCAGTGGTTACTAAGTAGAACTAAGCAGTCATAAAACGATTAGTCCAGTCGTTAGCGCATAGAATCTCGAAGATGTTCTTAATCATTTAAAAGTTCTTAATAATTTCGTATTCCTTTTTCAGTGGAACCAAGCAAGGTCGTCGGTGGCGTAAGGCACTTCGTCCTTCCAGCGAACTACACCAGGAACTGGCTGACCACACAGGTCATTCCCGAGCACAGGTTGACTTACTTCACCGAGGACGTCGGTCTGAACTCCTTCTACTACTTGGCCAGCAAGAACTACGAACACAGCATGGCCTTACCGGCGACTACTGTTCGTGCCCAGGAACGCGGAGAATACTACTTCTTCCTTCACAATCAGCTGTTGAACAGGTACACTGAATTCTAGTGCAAAATTAAAATAGAAGGTCCATTAATTTCACAAGTTAAATTAGTAGTAATATAAAGTAGCCGCGAGTGCGGTGAATTTAAATGCACCGTCATTTTGCAGCTTTATGAGACTATTTATGTTACAACTCAATGTTCAATGTTCAATATTAATATTTAATATTTAATATTTAATATTTAATATTCCTTTGTAATTATAATTCGTTTGTAATCCCTTTGGAATCACAGAGTCCCTAATTAGAATCAGAAACAATGAGTCTCCAAAATCCAGTTAAGAAACTAAGTTTGAAAGTATTAATGAATTTAATATTTAATGTTTAACATTCAATACACAATATTTTCGTGCTCAGTTTCTCAAGTGAACTTTAAAGAATACTCATTACCTCGAACTCTAATTACTCTTAATCTCGAGAAACGAGAGCTAAAAAGGATTCACCGCTAACAACAGGCTGTTACTTTCAGATACAAGATGGAGAGACTTTCAAACCGCTTGGGCGAGATCCCATCCATCAACTCTGACAGGCCAATCGTCACTGGATACTACCCCAAAATGCGCTTCCCTAATGGCCTCCGCTTCCCAGTGAGAGAAACCAACGCTGTCGTGCCTCTCCACATGCAGCGAAAGATTCAGGTAACAATTTCGAATGCTCGAACGAGGCTTCTTCTTCCAATCTCAATTCAATTAACCCTTTGACTGCGGTGATAAAAAATGAAACCATCTAATCAAGTATCCATCCACTATAGAAGCATAATTTATAGGAACTATAATCAATTTTTGCGAATCTTTCGCGAAAGCAAACGAGTTAACGTGTATTGCTTGCTCTCGTTTAAAACAAAGTTAAAGGGTTAAACGAGTATTCAGTCTCAATTCGTTAAACTGTTCGTTGAAGACTAATCACTACTGAACAACTTGTTAACCAAACTACCAACAACAATTGCAATAACTCACGAAGACTCCCTTAAACCTTCACCAAAGCAATTCTTTCTATTCAAACTAAATGATTTCACCCATCCTCCGCCCAGAGATCGAAGAATTGCCAATAAACAAATATTCCCAAGCCTCGAGAATACTGATTGAATTCTTCCAAAGACACCTCCGAAACGAATTACTCCAACAATCGTCGTTCAACCATCGAATTCAACGAATCATCCATTGAGTTTCGTTTCAACTTCGCGTTTGACGTTCCAGCTGCTGAGAGACCTGCACACGAGACTCTCCGCCGCCATTGACGCCGGCTACCTGATCAACCGCAACGGAGACCGCATCAACATCTACACCAAGAAAGGATTGAACCTGTTGGGAAACACTGTCCAGGGTAACGCCGACAGCGTCAACAGGCGCCTCTACAAATCGATTGACCTGGTCGCCAGGGAGGTCTTCGGGTTCGGCGAGCTGGCCACCAGCAAATACGGAACCGTGCCCAGCGCGCTTGGCTTCTTGAGCACCAGCATGAGGGACCCTGTCTTCTTCAGCATCTACAGGAACATTCTCAGCTACTATCACAAGTTCGTATTGAGTTCCTATCGAAAATTCGCTCGGCAGTTGAAAGTAACTCGTGTCATTCAGACGAATGTTTCAGCATTTCAATGCTTTGCCATATTGTTCGCGTTCAGTATTTGAGAAAATAGCGATAACTTCAATATTTCACTGAATCAGTTTATCCAATCACCAGAAAATCATCTCTCTCTCTATCTCTCTCTCTCTCTCTCTAGTAATAGACGGAGCTGTTAGTTCTATGGAATCAGTTGAATGACACTCCTTAGAACAATTATCTTACTTGCAATTTACTTGCCACTCTCTCGACAAATGACAATTCTTCTTAGTGTTCCGAGAGAACTGTTGGTATCTATTAGTAACAATGTAGTCATTGTAAATATCAAAAATGCCAAGAATATCCCGCGAAGACAGAGAAACCGATCAAACCGTCGTTCCTCCTAGCGATCGAGTAGCAGACAAACGAAATGATGTCTGCGCTAGAGACTAAAGTGTATGTTTCCTGTGCAGGTACAAGGAGAACCTGCCCACTTACACGAACAAAACTCTGATGTTCCCTGGTGTCCACATCCAATCGATGCGCGTCGACAAGCTCGTCACCTACTTCGACACCTTCAAATCCATGCTGAACAACGGCGTGCCGATCCGCAGTCAAAAGGAAGCCGAGAGCATGCTGCTCCTGGCTCGCCAGCAACGACTCAACCACAAACCCTTCACCTACCACATCGACGTTGTCAGCGACAAGGCAGTCAAGGGTATGGTCCGCATCTTCCTCGGACCGAAATACGACTCGAACGGACACGAGCTCCAACTCGAGGACAACTACATGGACTTCATGGAACTCGACCAATTCAGCGTTGACCGTACGTATTACACGTTCCCCTTGTCATCAGATTGCTAACCCTTCTAAAATATCGAGTGAACATGAGGATCTTCGTAGAAGTACAGCTCCAAGTTAATTTGTAGAATCGAGTGATTTATACGAGGTTCCTTCAATCCTCGTCAAACTGACAAAGAGTCATTGAGATTCTTAATTACTAATATTCTAGTTTATAATCTACTGTTTACCTCAAATAACCACTGTCAACAATACCCTGAATCTGTCAACAATAACAGAATCTATACACCAATCTTTCGCTGTTCAAGTAACTAAATCATTCGTTTACGACTCAGTCTTCCAAATACGAGCGTTTCATCCCTGAAATGTCGGCATTCGTCCGCAAAGGGTTGAACATCTCCATCTGTCTTTCTTGAACTGACTCCCGACAACTTGACAACCAACTAAGGAAAGTAATTGCATAACTGAACTGTACAATCTCTTCCAGTGAAAGTTGGACACAACAACATCGAGAGGAACTGCGACGAGTCCATCTACGTCTCGCGCGACGAGCTGCCCAGCCACTCCTTCTACAAGAAGATCGTCGACAGCATCGAAGGCACCGACACCCTGACCTACACAGGCATGCCGTACGGTTTCCCTGACAGGTTGATCCTCCCCAGAGGCAGAGCAGAGGGTATGCCGCTGAAAATGTTCGTCTCGGTGACGCCGATCGACGAGACCCAAGTGGAGAGCATCCCGTCGCCGATCTTCGGCACACTGCTCACCGATGGACAGCCCATGGGATTCCCCTTGGACAGACCAGTCGACTGGGCACACCTCAACCTGACCAACATCCTCGTCAAGGACGTGCTCGTCTATCACACCGAGGAGCACGAGCTGAACGTGCCGTCCAAACGCGACTTCGAATAATTCCATCGTTTGCTTAATGCGTTTTTAAGTTAACTTTTGCTCATTGGCATTGATGATGCGCTCGGTTCCACGTGGGAACGGAGGAAAAGAGATTTGTAAAGAGATAGAATAAAGTTTATTGAGATATTTTCAACCTGCCTGTTGGATCATTTGCGAGATCTTTCACCCAAGAGTCGATCGTTTCGAGAGACGATCGGTTAACTCGATTTTCCTTTGTTTCGTTTTGTCCTTTGATGCGGTGGCTTTTTGGTTTTTCTTCGATTTCTTTCGTTGTTTGTTTTTTTTCATATTATTGGTTGATTTGTTTGTCTATTCGTTCGCATTGAACCTGTGTATGAAGAATCTGCGAAAGAATCGATGGAACAAGGAAGATTATTGTGAATACTGAGGATTAGAGGTAGAACTAGAGAATGTTAGAAAGTAGGAAGGTAAACTTAATATTGTTAATTTGTTACAATTAGATTTGCAGTGATCGAGCCACAGAACTGTCTGTGATTATAAATTTCTATGAAAGTTGTAGATCATGTTTCCTATTAATAATTAGAGCACATCGAATGTAATATGAAAGTAATTTGATTGAAACCTTACTCTGTCTTAACGATCTGTGTTGGTTATGAATTTATAGGAATTTGATTGAAAGTAATTTGATTGAAACCTTACTCTGTCTTAACGATCTGTGTTGGTTATGAATTTATAGGAATTACTGGTGTAATAAGTGATTTCGTTCAATAAAAACTTGTTAATTTTTAAATCGATGTTCTTACTCAGTTATTGGATTATAATTGATGAAGCACTCCTTAAAGTCACAATTTTTCTGTCCCCTTTCATTGAAGAGGAACAGCAGTATAAAAGGATCATTTAATAATCTTAATATATATTATACCATTAACTATAATTATAATGTCCATTTATACCTGTTATAAACGTCTACACAACAAAATAAAAATTATACATCGACCAATAGTGTGTTTAATTCCATGAAACAATCATTTACAACTCCCAATGTGCAAAATCCTCTTTATCAGTTAATTATTGAGTTATTCAATTATTAAATTATTTACTTAATCCATGAGAAATTACGATCTCCTTATAATTTCCAATAGATTGACCATACTTTCAGAAATCTAGCCGCTTCCGTTCGAACAAGACGAATCGAGGCATAATTCACTCTTACATCCAATTAAGATGTCCGTTCGAACGATTTTTCAATTCTCCTAAATGGTACTCGTTGTATTGACAATTGTTAGTTGACAGAACGGCGCGGAGGATCATTAGGAAAATTATCGAGCGTGTCGAAGCTTGTTACGCCGACGAGAGACGCGTCTAATTTTCCGGCATAAATCACGGTTTTATCATGCAGACGAAAGAATCGCGGATTATTAATGAGCCGTAAGAATCGGCGAAGAAAAGGAGAGCTATGATACCGTGCCGGAGCAAGTGTTTCGCCGCGATAAAAAGGTATCTCCTCTAGATACCGTGCTTTCACATATTTATGTTTCTCGTCTATCGAGCGCTAACAAATCCCGATTAAATCTACGTAAACATTTATGCACTTTAATCGCGAGTGTTACTTAATCGTCGTGTCACTCGTACACAGATTAATTTCTCCGTACTGCGATTAAAACTATTAGGTATAAACTAGACCGAGGCGAATCCGAAAATTTGTTATTCATACACATTAAATTTGAATATCAGTGACATAAGATTTTAAGAAACTTAAAAGTCTTTGTTTCGTAAGCAAAACACTAAAAAATAAGAAATATCCTTTCATATTCTTCGACACTGAGTTCGCTTCGATTTTATAAACATTATTTATATTGTAGCAAACTTTTACAAGTAACTATCTATGTTTAAACCTCTAATTTCTAAGATCCAAGTGAACGACTATTCATTTTTCTAGGACACAATAAAATAGACTACGATAAATGACCGTATACCTATTGTTAATAGGTAATTAATCTCTCTCAAATATTGTTCAGCGAAGAACCTTTGACCTTTCCTTAATTCATTCTCACCCAGTTCCTTTATCAATCATAAAAACCACGATACTGATTGGACTTTCATGATTTTATTTTGATGAATGAACGAAATTCAAAGTCTTGCGGCTTTCGACCCCGATATCAGAATGTCAAACGGATTTCGATAACTCGTTTGCGTGATTTTCGGTTTCTGCGTTCGATTATAGACGATATTGATACGAAGAATTGTTGTTACATAACGCGTCCATTCCCGCGAGCAACACAATCAGTTACGCTCGAATTGCGCGTAACGATTCGAGAATCGGAAGGCGCCCGTTTTGAAATTTCGCGGGCGAACGCCGACATAATGGCGACTCCAGCATTCGGCACCGAAGCCCTAAAACGAACGAATAACTCGATTGTTCGACTAAACACATTAACTATCATTCGATATTCACTAAAAGAACAATTCAGTCTACACAAAACTATTTTCTAGGTTTTTTAATCAACCAATAACAACGAAACTATCCAAGCAGCCATATATCAGCACGCGCTTCCCGCATTTCCATCATTCAATTTTCACAGAAACAATTTAATTACTCGATAAATCAATCGAGTATATGATTCACGTTACATTCAGAAAAGTGTGTTATCGATAATACTTATTAATAATACTAATCGCGTTAACTCCGAGATAAATTTCGTACGCCGAAGTATCTCATCGCGATCACGGGTTCAAGGACGAAGAAACAGCAAAAAACAGCAATCAGTTTCGCGGGTCGCGACCCGAAACCTTACAAAAACAGGGCCCGGGTGGGGAACGAATGTTTTCTGGCGAGGGATCGTTGATAGGGATCCCCGCGGGATATAAGAACGCCGATCGCCCAAGAGCCGGAGCGTTTTCAATCGTTGGCTTTTCAATCGGTGAAAACGATGTCGCGTCTGTGGCTGTTGGGACTCCTGGCGTTCGTCGGTTTGGTCGGGGCCAATTATTATGACACGTACACCAGCGACCAGACTTTTCTGGCCAAGCAGAAGAAAATCTTGAATCTTCTCTACCACATCCCGCAGCCCGATGTCGTGAACCCTCAGCTGTACAGCAAGGGCCAAGAATGGAGCATCGAAGCTAACATTCACTCGTACAACAAAACGGTAATTATCAAGTTCTAATTCTCTGGTTTCACTTTCGATCCTCCTTATTTTCCAACTTGTTCTTGTTTCATTCCAACCTACTAACTCTCCTTTATTTTCTATCGTCTACATTTACTATATATTTGACACTAGAACTACCAAAATGACTGGTTTCGATTCTTTTGCTTAGCAATTATTGATATCTTCGAGGCATTGAGTATTCGAAGTGATTTTGAAAATAGTTTCATTTGAGTGCTATAAGGAATGTCTGAAGAAACTGAAGATAATCTATTGTTACAATTCTTATAGAAATTGCATATTAATCGTATTAAATTAGTAGTTCTAGTGTTAGCCTATCGTCCTCTTATTTCATTCTCAATCCATCCCCTTTTATTTCCAATCGTTCCTTCGTTCAACTCGTTACATTCGCTTGAGTCCCATTGTTAAACTAGATTTCCTTCGCTGGGCTTAAAGTCCGTCGTCGATTTCTTAGGGAAACGATCAATCGATAACAAACAAGCTTCAATGAAATTCAAAGAAGTCGAATAGGATTTAGTAAACGTTCCAAGGGACTCGATGAACAAATTGTTCCTCGCGATTTCAGGAAGTCGCGGAGCAGTTCCTGCGGCTGTACAAAAATGGCGTGCTCGGACGCGGGGAGGTGTTCTCCGTTTACTACCCGTCGCAGCTGAGAGAGATGGTCCAGCTGTTCAAGCTGTTCTACTATGCGAACAGCTTCGACGTGTTCTACAACACAGCCCTCTGGGCTAGGAACCACATGAACGAGGGCGTTTTCGCGACCGCCCTTTACACCGCTGTAATTAACAGATGGGACACCGAGTTCATCCAGCTGCCGCCGTTGTACGAACTGTACCCGTACTACTTCTACAACTCCGAGGTGCTCACCAAGGCCCAGAACGTCGGGACTTACAGCCCGATAGGTAATCATCATCCAAAGTAAACGTAGTTTCCTTAACCCCTTGCTTTGCTAAAGTGTGCGAGGCGAAGATTTCAAATAGAATTTACCGAACATAAATATTACTTCCTTTCAATTCGAATGGAATATTATTCTGTTGTCGATTACTGTACTGTAGAGCGAACGTAGACAGAATGCCCATAGAATTCTCTATTTTCAATGAATTATTAACGGCAAGGGTTTAACACTGGAACTACCGAGCTCCATTGCTAGAACTTCATTCTTTCCTTCAATAGTTTTCATATATTAATGAAAGAAGATTTCGGAAATGGTCATTTTAGTAGCTACAGTATTAACCCTTGGCACTCCAGGTTTTGTAATCTATCAGCAACTAATTTTTATAGTATTCCTAACGAAGAGATCTTTTATTTTCCTTCTCAGTACGAAATTTGGATGCGTGGAAAATCAAATAATTTCAGGGCAGTTTCTTTAAGATTCATTAAAATGGTGCAATACTGGAGCCTAGAGTTCAAAGGGTTAAAACTCCAGCAATGCAATGATAACGAAACTGAAATTTCAGAGCTGAAGAAGACTGACGGATCAGACATGTACGTGATCATGGCCAATTACTCTGGCTGGTACATCAACCGCGAATACGATCTGGAGAACAAGCTGAACTACTTCGTCGAGGACATCGGTCTGAACGCGTACTACACTCTCTTCCGTTTGCAATATCCGTTCTGGCTGAGCAGCGAGGAATTCGGTTTCCCGAAGAACCGTGGCGAGGAGTTCCTGTACAACCACCTGCAGCTGTTGAACAGGTCAGTCTTCAACCCGTTGCTCTATGATCTCTTTCGTTCTATGATCTCTTAATTAGAAGTACTTCTAATTAAGCACAGCTGCGAAAGAGATCATGGAACGAGTAAGAAACGATAAGAACTCGATACTGACTCTGTTTACGTTCACTCTGAAGCAAATTGGAATTTGAAATATCACTTCATATATTTCGCAATATTTATTATAATATTATGTTATAATATTTAACCCTTTGCACTGTCACTTGATTTCACGTAGTAAAACTATAAAATTCGATATTCAATATTTAACTGTATTTGATCGGTGTGTAAAATATTCGGAAAAGCTTTGTCTCTCAATGCACTTGCGATTCCTCGAGTTAATTTCAAAAAATATCGTCTGTGCCTAGTTAGAAAATGTTCAATATTTCCAACGAAATACCTCCGAATGCAAAGAGTTAATATTATAACTGGTGCAATATTGGAGCCTACAGAGTTCAAAGGGTTAACACGTTGACTGTCAAGGCAAACTATAGGTTTCTAATCCTAGAAGTCAATTAGATTTAGTCATGTTGTATTATTGTTAAGGATTTCTATCATCAAACGATTCGAAATGAAACAGGTACTATCTGGAGAGGTTCTCGAACGACCTGCCAGCCGTCGAGGACTTCGACTGGAGCAAACCGTTCGTCCCCGGATTTTATCCGACCATGACCTTCCACAACGGATTGCCGTTCGCCCAGAGGCCAAGCTGGAGCCAATTCCCGGTCCACAAATACGGATACATCAAGGTAAGCGAGAAACCTAGTACAAATAACGATTAGACAACGATGAACCATGATTTCCCATGACAGCCGCGATGGGAATAAGAAGAACACGGTAACGAACGTAAAAAGGTCGAAAGACATGTCGTTTAACATGTCGAAAGAGTATTCGTTGCATTATTAACACAAAGAAAAAATATAATATTCAATCGTTCGATCGATTTGCATTATTATCATTGCATGTTCATTCAGCTGAATGTCACGAACGTAAAAAAGTCGAGAGACGCGTCGTTTAAACGGAATTGTCGCAATTTCATAGAGTAAAATACCCAAATCGAGAAAATATAATATTAAATCATTCGATTGATTTGCATTATTATTATTGCGTGTTCGTTTAGCTGAATGCCACCGCATTAGGCAGCATTATTTATAATATAGGAATCTCTTCAATTAATCATAGTGTAATTGAGTGAACTATAGTAATCCTATTCGGTTGGCGGTCATCGATGACAGTTTTAACCCTTTGATCCTCTGCGCGCAGAAAATCAGGGACATCGAGTCCAGAATAAGCACTGCCATCGACTCCGGCTACATTCTCAACAAAGACGCTAAATGGATGAGCATCAACACCCCAGACGGCGCTAACATTCTTGGCAACTTGATCGAAGGCAACGCTGACAGCATGAACAGCAACATCTACGACAGTTTGGACAGGCTGAGCAGAAAGGTCTTGGGCTTCAACCCGGAAACCTCCAGCAGAAACCAAATCTGGCCCAGCGCTTTGGAAGCTTTCCCCACTTCCTTGAGGGACCCTGCATTCTGGAGGCTGTGCAAGAGAATCAACGAATACTACTACAGGTAGGTCGTTTGGAGCTTTAGCTTTAGCTCTAGTTGTAGCTATAGCTATAGCTTTACTGGAGTTATAGTTCTAGCTTTAGCTTTAGCTTTAGCTCCAGCTATAGTTCTAGCTTTAACTTTAGCTATAGCTCTAGCTTTAGCTCTATTTCTAGCTCTAGCTCTAGCTATAACTATAATTCTAGCTATAGCTATAATTCTAGCTTTAGTTCTAGATCTAGCTTTAGTTCTAGATCTAGCTATAGTTCTATCTATAGCTATAGTTCTAGCTTTAGTTCTAGATCTAGCTATAGTTCTAGCTTTAATTCTAGCTCTAGCTATAGGTATAGTTCTAGCTTTAGCTCTAGTTCTAGTTCTAGCTCTAACTTTAACTTTAGTTATAGTTCTAGCTCTAGCTATACCTCCAGCTATAGCTCTAGCTCTAGCTCTAGCTATACCTTTAACTTTAGCTTCAGCGTCAGCTTTAACTCTAGCCCTGGCTCTAGCTATAGCTAGCTCTAGCTTTAACTCTAGCTCTATGTCTAGCTGTTACTGTAGCTCTAACTCTATCTTTACCTCCGGCTCTAACAGTACCTCTACCTCCAAGTTCTAGCTCCAAATTCCATCATCTTCCAAACCCAAATCGAGACAAGGATTGTACCTCCAACGCTATGGAATGATTCCAGATTCAAGCTCCGCCAGAAACCGTACAGCATGGACGAGGTCCTCTTCCCGAACCTGAAAATCCAATCTGTCACCGTTGACAAACTGACCACGTACTTCGATCAGTTCGACGCGACCATTAGCAACGGTCTGTTAATGCGCACCGCTGCCGAAGCCGAGTCCACCTTGGTCAAAGTTAGACAATACCGTCTGAACCACAAGCCATTCAACTTCCACATCACCGTCAACTCCGACAAAGCGACGAGAGCTGCCATTAAGATCTTCCTTGGACCCAAATACGACGCCCACCGCAAATTGGTTGAGCTGCCGGAAGGATTCAGATACTTCTACGAAGTCGACAACTGGGTTCTCAACCGTGAGTTTCTATTTTTCTTGATTATTTCGATGTTTTTGTTGAGTATGTAGAAGTAGACACGAATTGTCGCTGGAAAATTGGTGCAAACCGGTTGAACCTGAGAGATATTAATTGTTTCTTTCATTTTGATTGGCTAACTAAAGTGTTGGATATTAAATAGCAAGTTTCTTGTTCAGTATTCATTGCTGCTCTAGTTCTAGTTTTATTTTAATATTCATTGTAGCTCTAGTTCTAGCTTCACTTTATTATCCATTGTAGCTCTAGTTATAGCTTCACTTTAATATTTAGTATTAAACTCTATAATTGTGTTACATCAAATCAAACGACGGCTCTACAGTACAAACGATCGAATGAAGTAAATACTTGGTGTCCATGTAACACGTCCCATGCCACGTATACCATAATTACCGCATAAGCAAGATACAACTAAAATTTCCATGGCACAGCATGTATTAATCAGAACAATACAATTGTATAAATGAAGTTTCATGAAATCGTAAGCAAAGAACCGCAGTCCAAACGAACATGGTATTCGGACTGTCGCTCTCTGCCACCTGAACGAAAAGCAGAAAGTCAGCTGCACATGTTAATCGAGCTTATTGTCTTCCACAGTGGACGCCGGTGTGAACAAGATCACCCGCAGCAGCAACAGCAGCTTCTTCTCGTCCGAGGACCCAGAGCCGACCGAGCTGTTCTACAAGAGAGTGCTGAAGGCAATCGAAGAATCCTCCACCGTCACCACCCAACGGAGAATCGCCGGCTTCCCCGAGAGGCTGTTGCTGCCCAAGGGTAAGAAGGAAGGAATCCCATACCAATTGTTCGTCTGCGTCAGCCCGGTGAACGAAGAATTCCAGTACGAGTCCAGAGTGTTCGGCAGCTACACCTTCGACACGAGACCGTTCGGCTACCCTCTGAACAAACCAGTGCCAGGATTCAACTACGATGCACCCAACATGATCTTCAAGGACATCATGATCTACCACAAAGACGACACCGACACCATGATCACGTACTAACCGGGTGTACGCTTCCCTTCGTTACTTTGGAACTTATCTTTGTAGCAACTAGGTGTTTAGAATAAATGAAGCTTTATCGGTAGAACGTTCCCGTTTCTTTCCAACTCGTTCCCTGGTTTTTTGGTTATTAATGAAGTAAATTGAAGATGGGAGTAGTTGGTTTGAGATGATATAGGTACTTAGCTTGGATGACTGCGATGGAGAATGCGGTAGGATCTGAGAATGGTGAGGACAACGGTTGAAAGATGGTTGCGTTTAACTTGAGTCCTGTTGAAACCAGCCGTCATTTTTCAATATTCAACATGTCAAATTAAAGCTGAGAGTCTTTACTTTAAGATAGAGTAATGTTCAATCAGCTGTGATGACGATAACATACTGAGAAATGCGATAAACCTCTATAAGGATACTAGCGTTATGCTTGACTTTTGAGAACCGTTCGATTTTAACTCATTTCCTACAGAAACAAGCAATTGATGATTACCGTAGATTACCTCATTAGAAAGTAGAGACTGTCAGCTTTAATTTGGTATGCCGAACATTAAAATACATTGCCTGGTTTCGACAGGACATCAGTTAGAAGATCATCATTCAAAATCGAACCGATTTCCCGCTTGCGCAGTACCATCTACGAACAAACCGTTGAAACTACTAGCCAATTAGCTTCTTCCTTTCAAAGCTAGATGGCGCTGTTTAATCAACGCCATCTAGCGGCAGTTTAATAATACTATTTGGCTAGTAGTTTGAGCGTTCTGTTCGCAGATGGCGCTGCACGCGCTGGAAAATCAAAATTACTGCATAAAATGGATTAATTAGTAGAAACCAGTTGAATATTCTATAGTTTAGCAATTAGAAGATCTAAAGCACATCCTCAGCTACTTTTCTGTATAATTATCATTACGACTTTCGCTCGGATTAATTAATTATTATCGATTCTCCAGAACGTTGTCCCTCAGTCATCCAAAATTCTATACTAAGCTGCACGGAATTAATTAATTCTCTGTCTTCGACGACATAATTAGTGAACTTTTATGATCAGAGTAAGTAGAGTAGACTTCTAGCAACATTCCAGTACCAATTTTTCCAACGTCCGTCGTTTAATTAATGAGTTATTGGCGATTTTCGGAGTTCTTTCTTTTTCAATGCTTGTGACGAGTAAGACAAGGACAGCTAATTGTCAACGCCATCTTGGATAAAACTACCAAGCTACTAGCCATTTAGTATAAATTTTTGAACGTTAGATGACAGTAGAATATTTCTGTCCTTGTCGCACCTGTGTCTGACCTTGTCTGACTTGTTACAGTTACAGGAAATGTTCTCCAGTTTCAAGGTCAGCAGTTTTAATACTCGATTTGAATCGCTCGATGGCGCTTGAGCGCACCGTTCACGAAAATGCGTGAGACTCCCATAACCTCACCGCACTGCTTATGGCAGAAGCATGGCGAACGCGGTTAATTGCTCTACGTTTTCGTCCGACGGTGAATATTTCGCTAATTGCGGGGCCGATGGGAAATTGAAGATTTGGGACACGTCCACCGGCCGTTTGAAACAGGAGTATGTTTCTAATTTTCATCTGTCGTCCCCTTGTTGTGTTCTGACCTGGCTTTATGTCAACTCTTCATCAACAAATACCACGGTGAGCCATGTGCTTTTTTATTTCTGGCCCGATCGGAATCACGATTTTGTTGGATTTTGAATTTGCGCACGGCACCGGCCGAATGTTAATTAGAGGTTCTCGTAATTACGCCCGCGATCGTTTCTGTGTACTTTCTTTGTTTATCGGGTGAGTAGGTTTTACGACAAATTCGTAGGTTATCCCGGGAACGCGGTTTATAGTGTTTGTAATACATTTGTAGTATATTGTGCGGATTATATTTCATAGCCAATTTAAGATAAAATTTATACATGAAGATTAATATCCAATTATTTTGTTCCTGGTAGGGTAAATTAAATTTATATGATTGTTTAGCCTTCACCATGGAAGAAACGCAGAAAGAAGTCAATTTCAGAAGAATCAGCTCCCAAAGGCATCATTGCTATGGGATCCACGAATGGCAAGCTGACCCTTTATGATACAGCAACATCCTCAGTCAGTACTCAATTGGATGACCACAGCAGTACAGTCACAGCCGTAACTTGGTCTGAAACTGTTGGTTTATTCAGTGCAGCGGATGATCATCACATTATTCATTGGAATCTTAAGGAGAATGGAGTGAAATGCAAATGGAAATCTGGAAAGGGGAAGACAACGTCTTTAGCAGTTTCAGAAGATGGGAAAAGCTTGTTGTCTGGAGAAAGAGTTGTCAAATGGTGGAACCTATCTACCAAACAATTAATCAAAACGTTTACAGGTCATGCTAATCAAGTAACATGTCTGTCTACTGTAAAAATACCGTTTGGAAGTAACTATGTAATTAGTGGAGCATGTGGCGATGGTTGCCTTAGTGTTTGGACGTTAGATGAGGTGAGACACATGCTTTTCCGTATGCTTTTAGTATTTCTGAAATGTTTTCTGTGCATTAACGAAAAATATTTACAGCATAAAACTGAGAGAACAGCTGTGGCAAGCTTAGCTTTGCAAGATGATGCAGTAAGTGTTTCCGTGAACGTGTCAGAGGAGTCCCAAGTTGTTGTATTGGTAGTAACTAGGTCAGGTCAAGCACACATATTTCATTGTCAACAAAACGGTCGAACCAAACCTCTGAAACCTAGCTTGAGTATTGCGGTAGCGTCTGATATAAGTCAGAAAGACGGCGTTCAACAAATTCCTTTGTTACACGCGAAATTAATGGAAGACCAAAAATTACTATTAGCATACGGTACATATCTTAATCCTACGTTTGAAAGGGTAACTCCAGACTTTTCCGAGAAGGTGCAATGTTTGGTGCGCTCAGAAAATAGGAAAGCTAAGGACAAAAAGGAAGAAATTTCCAAGGTGAAGTCTACTATAATTGAGGATAACGTGGAATACCTTACACCAGGTATTTGTCTCCTATTATTTTATTCTGGTAAAGTAGTGAACTAGATTAGGTACTCACAGAATTGTTTTATGTAGGTTTAATAGAAACTGCACCAAAAAGGAATAGAAGCAACTCTGGATCGCAATTATTATTGAAAGATAGATTAGAAAACCTGAGTCTAAATGCAGAATCCAGCCCTGCAGGGAAAAGTACTAGTTCAGGTACTAATAGGACGCAACTTTTACTTCAAGGATTGAATAGTAAAGATAAAACAATTCTGAGCAGTGTATTCGTCACGAGAAACGAATCTATCATTAGGAATACTATAGCTAAATTGCCAGTACAGGCGATTGGACCACTAATTAAAGAGCTGACCATCTTGCTCCAGGGTAAAACTTTAACGTAAGATTTCCAAACGTTGAATGATAATGAATTGAATAATAAATCATTCAGTTTGTATTCATCTTCTTTCATTGGTTTCTTGTAGGAGTAAAATGGCTGTGAGGTGGTTGGAAGCACTGTTAATAACGCATGCAGGCCATTTACTATCACAAGCAGATCTCATGCAATTATTTGGACCCATTTTGAGTTTAATCGACGCCAAGCTAGCTCTTCTAACAGAAATTTCTAGACTCAGAGGTCGTGTGTCCCTCATTACAGGCCAGATCTCACAGACAGTTGAAGAACAACATAAGGAAGTTACAGAAAATTGTCTTGTCTATCAAGATTCAGGTTGTAATTGCATTGTAATCACTTTCACTGAATCTTCTGAATTGTATTTAACGGAGATAAATGCGAACAGATTCTTCAGAAGAAGATGACAGAATCGAGGATGAAGAGTTGGAAAGTGAGTCCGATGAAAATTGGGAGGAAATGTCAAATCAAGAAGACCAAGAGGATGAACAAGAAGAACAAAATGATCAAGATATCAGGAGTACAAATTCTGATGAAATAGACGAAAACGATAATCAAGACGATGATGGATCTATATCCAGCTAAAATGTTCACTTAGGTATAACTCTAAAAAACTTATGACAAAGTCCTGATTCATCTTCTATCCATTAAGTAACTAATGAAAATACTGAAATACGATTTTTTATTTTATTTCAGAAAGTATTCACTGGATATAAGGAATATGAGAAAGAAAAGAATATGAAATGTTAAATAAATGACGTTTTTCTACACCAATTACTTAGTTTTATTATCATTGCGTTAATGTCGATTTATTCTAATTATGAAATTATTATTATTATTAAATAATTACTATTGAATTTCTATTTCTGAAAAGAAAAGAATTTGATTAAAAAGCATTGAGAAACAGTAGGAAATATATATTATTTTTAAACGCTTGCGCCTTCTGCCATCTGTCACAAGGGGTGTAAACCTAGGATACGATTAAAGGTTTAAGGTTAGAGAGACATCGATCATTTATATGTTGCTTGAAAATTTATATAGAAAACTCGAAGGGTGTAAACAATTTTGCAATTTTTTAAATGTATTTAATTTGGTGAAATATAGTGACCTGGCATTTTTTTAAATCTTTATAATATGGTAAGTAAAAGAAAGATTAAAAAATAATTGGCTGGTATAGGTTATCATTTAGTACGAGCCGTAAACTTATTTTTTAAATATAACATATACGCGTGTCAACATGATTTTTCAAATCTCATTACTTTTTCGAAATAAATTTTTATTTTACAATTTATAACTTTAATACGTGAAATTACATCGTGACTTACAGAGTATAAATTTTATTTCTCAACAAGAGGTATTACTTGTGATTTTTATGTAGTAATGCGTTTTTTATTACAAGAATTAAAATGACATTGAGCATTATTAAAATTAAAATGTGTGTATAATATTTTCTAGCCAATGTTAGAACATGACATTGAACTTCCATCACCGGTTCCTGATTTGCTGTTGGATAAACATGCAAACTTTTTACTCGCATACGACAAGGATAAGGATGAATATGTAAGTAGTCATGTAAAACGTAGCTGATTAAAATTACTCGTACAGAAAGTAACTACCAAAATAAAGATATGTCTGTATTTCAGAAATATTGTATAACAGAACATTTACGAATGTCTGGCATGTACTGGGGATTAACAGCATTAGATCTTATGGGGAAACTTGATCAAACTAATCGGAGTGAAGTTCTAGAGTTCATAGCTCAATGTCAAACAGAAAGTGGAGGCATATCAGCATGTTTGCAGCATGATCCACACATTCTCCATACCTTAAGTGCAGTACAAATATTGTGCATCTATGATGCTCTCGATGTCATTGACGTGGGGAAAGTTGTGAAATATGTGAAAGAAAGACAACAGCCGGATGGAAGTTTCACAGGTGATATCTGGGGTGATGTTGATATCAGATTCTCTTTCTGTGCTGTGGCAACTTTGGCACTTTTGGTTAGTATCATGCCAAAGTAAAAATTAATTATATATAAATGTGAAATAAAACAGGACAATTTTGTTTTAGAATCAATTGGATGCTATAGACGTTGATATGGCTGTTAAATACGTGATGAAGTGTAAGAACTTTGATGGTGGCTTTGGATCAAAGCCAGGAGGTGAAAGTCATGCTGGCATGATTTACTGCAGTGTGGGTCTTTTGTCAATAACTGGTAATTCTTTCTTCTTTTTTGCAAGTTCCAATAACGAACAGTACTATAATTACATTCTTGTCTAGCAGCTCCTACTGTCTTCTCAACCTACATTTCAAAATCAAGATATAAATAATCTAACACAGATTGAAAAATCTGAACAATTTTAAGTTATTGTCAAACCATGTCAAATAATTCTTGTAGGTTGCCTTAATTTAGTGGACGCAGATCAATTAAGTTGGTGGCTTTGCGAGAGACAACTCCAGTCTGGAGGATTAAATGGTAGACCACAGAAATTACCCGATGTTTGTTACTCCTGGTGGGTACTTTCATCGCTCACGATCCTTGGACGACTTCATTGGGTCAATAAAGAACAGTTGGTACGTATTCTCTTAGATTTTCCACGTGGTATACCTGCGAGTGATTATTTAATATTGATTGACAGGTGAAGTTTGTGCTGGCATGTCAAGACACAGAATCAGGAGGATTCAGCGATCGTCCAGGAGACGTTGCTGATCCTTTCCACACCTTATTCGGATTAACCGCGCTGTCCCTCTTAAATGCTGATTATCCTCTTAAAAGGATCAATCCTACGTTTTGTATGCCGGAATATGTTATACAAAGGTTACAGCTGAAACCTTCCAGACTAGACCAAAGCAATTGATATTTAATTCCAAATAATGAAACTTTTACGGATCAATAAGAGAAGCGGAAGTACGGCATAAGTCTCTTGCACGAATTATTTTCTCTTCTTTATTTAAACACTGGAAAATTATTCATTTGTACGATGTATACCGAATGTATTATAACATAATATTGAAAAAAGAATGTGTGCTCAATGCAAGTTACTGCAAATAAAATTATAATTAAATCGGATGGACACAGGACAGTAAAAATATATGTTTAATGAAGTTACTTGGGAAATTATGATTGCTTCTTGTATCTCTGTTGAATATTTATTATTATTATTATTATTATTTTATTATTATTATTATTTTATTATTATTATTATTTTTTATTATTATTATTTTATTATTATTATTTTATTATTTATTGTATTACCGTAATATATTACACTGCTAATTGTCATTCCCGTTTCTGAGAAATTCTTAGCACTTTAACAGGTGTATTTGTTACTTGTATGAGTATCGTTTGTTCCAGTGTACTGCATTCTTCATAAAACAGACCGTGTATTCCTAAAATGGAAAGAGGAATGTTATGATGTGTTATCATAATTTATAATGTTCATTGGATTAAGTAAAATACCTAAGAAATTCAAGAACAGAGAGAAAGTGTCTGCATTACGAATTGTTCCTGAAATAATGGCATATCTATTGCTAAAGGATAAAAAAGTCTTTAGTGCCAACACTAGAGCATTAAAAGAAAGAGGTTCATATACAATATCAGCTCCGATTATTACATCTGGCACAATCCTGCCTTCATTCAAATACTCATTCGTGTGTTCCCAGTTTAATTCCATTACTTCAACATTTGTATCTTCATATTCCATTTGAAATTTTACTCTATCATTTTCTACCCGCTTGTTCACATGCACGGCCTCTTGATTGTTTAATAAATTAAGCTTAACATTATTGCAAGCCATTTCTAAAACAGATTTGTGAAAATCCGTGAAAATGTATCGATTGGGAGAGCAGTTTTTAATTATGCACAGTCCTGTTAATCCAACTCCACAACCGAATTCTAAAACAACTTTATTGTGAAATTCATTTTTGTTCTCCATGCACCATTTACTTAGTTCAAATGCTCCCTATAAGTAACAAATAATATTACAATAAATATTGTTACTACTGTAATAAAGAGATAATTTTACTTTCCAACTACATAATACCTGCCAACAACATAATCCTGTTGTACCTTGTGATATGATATTTGTACTTTCTTGTATAGTTATGTAATCAGATACATCATCATCTTTCATCAGAAAATGTCGATAATGAATTACATCGCTTATTGGAGAAGATATTAAATTACAATATGCATTGTACAAGTCATCGTGAATTTCACCACCTTCTTCTTCAATCTAAGCAAAGAACAGTAACAATAATAAATGATATATAGTTTTTATGTAATTTGCTTTTCTATACCTTGTTCATAAGCAATTTTAAGAATGCTCTCTGATATGACCGTTTCACAGGGTACTTTTTTATTAAATCATTACCTATCGTATTGTCCAGAATTTCCTTTTGGTTATCACTTATAGGAAAACAATTAATACTTTCTTCAGGGTGCTAAAACGAATGTACAAACGAATAAAAAAATTTAATAAACAATTTAAAATAATAATTGAGAATTTACATACAAATATATCCATTTTATCTATGGGTGAGCAACAAAGAAATTGATTCATTAAATTGGCTACATCAAATAAATTCTCATTCATATTGTTTGTTGAATCATCTTCATTAGTCTGATGATCATTAAATACATGAGATAAATTTTCATCCATTTTATTTAATAAAGAACACGTTAGTCCTAGAACGAGTTAGTGCTCATGTAGCAACAATGCATGAACCATGAAATCATTCCTCAACCTATATATACATTACATTTTTAACTAAAAAAAAAATTTGGATTCTTTATATACAAAACAGATTTTATTATTTCATACTGCACACATGTCAATATTAATAATATTTCGATATTCGAATGATCAGTATTCGTTACTCTTTAATGAAAATTAATATGAAAAGAACGAACTAGAAGAAAGTTGTCCAGAACGAACCAATTAAACAGTAAGTACAAAATGTGATCGCCAGATCACACTAGATTTTCGTATTCATTAGAACGTGAAGGTAGAACGAGTTTTCTTTCTATAAAATAAATGAAGGGAGACTGAACGAACTTTGACAGCTGACAAGTCTTCCCTTGCATGTGTGAAGTGCTGCTAATATTGCATGTTATAATCAGTTATGTGCATACATATTTCATGTACTTCACCGGTGCAATATAAAATCAATTAATTACAACACATCGTAATATAATTGATTGATCGAAATAACACTGTAGAATGTGATTCTCATTTTGGAGTGCCATTGCATTGATTTAATAATCAAAAAATGATATCATAATGGACAACTTGAATACTCACGTTTTTAATACATTTTAGATATATGAATTTATTAAGGTAAGTTCCACTAGTATTGTATCGTAAAATTTATAACAACTCCTTTAAGACTTTACTGTTACGTGTGACTGCTCAATTTAGATAATCGGAGTATCTGTTCACGTAATGGCCTCTGCTATGGAGCAACAACAGCAGCAACAGCAACAGCAACAACAGCAACAAACCACCCTGGAATTCTACCAGGCGATGGCTGATTTCAAAAATATGTTTCCACAAATGGATGATGACGTTATAGAGGTAAAACTATAATAATTTATTGTAAACTTTTCATGTTTAAATTAATATGTACTTTCAATTTCAATTTTTGGTAATTATGTTTTAAAGTACTGTGTTATTTGTATGTAATTTTTAGGCTGTATTGAGATCTAATCAAGGAGCTGTGGATACCACAATTGATCAATTGCTCACTATGAGCACGGATAATGAGAATGAAAAAATTAGAAGTGAATTAGAACAAAACGAGAAATCGCCGGGTACCTCTAAGCCTCCAAAAGCTGATTCAAATATAACATCAAAAGCTATACGTAAATGGCAACCAGCTTTCCTAGGACCATTGCCAGAAACATTTCTTAGACTTACACAACAAGTTCCAGAAGAGAATCTTGATCTGTACTCGAAAGAGAATACCATGTTGGAAGATGAAAGAATTGTCATGTTCCTTCAAAATGAAGAATTCATGGCAGAGCTACGTTGGAATAAAGATTTTTTGTCAACTTTAGAAAGCGGTATGTAACATTTCATTAATAAAAATGATTTACTATAATAATAGTGTTGCCTTATTAAATATATACAATTGCTTACTATATTTTCACTTTAGATTCAAAGATACCAGGAACGAATCTCGAAAAATATGGCCAAGCTGGCCACGACGATGAGGATCTCTTCAAAGAAAGACTAAAACATATGGGCAAAGGTAAAAAAATATATTAATTAGAACACACTTGTTACTCTATGTATATATACATAATCAGTAGTATTTATATGATTTTAATGTTATCCTTGTAGTGTCTCGACGTAAGTTTGCACAGCTTACCAAAGTGTTTACGCGTAGTAAAAAACGTGGAGGTAGACAATTGCTGACACCTACAGCTTCTTGTGATGATTTGCTGAATCCTGAGGAGTCATCTAGATCTCAGTCTTAGAAGTTTTACTGATATTCCTCGCTTCATTTAAAATGGGACAATTTCAGCAATTCATACTAATAGTAATACGTCGTCCAAAAATGAAGAAGAAGCATATCTATACTAACATACATAAATGAGAAACTACAGAACAGAAAGAATTGAAACTTGTTTGTTTATAAAAATGATATAAACTAGATATCAGTTAGGAACTCAGATCTGTTTGTCGTAACGTCGCACGCAGTGCTTAACGCATCGATATTTATTTCGCCGCTTGGGTATAATTTCAATCGGAAGCTCGGAAAGATCAAAATGCAAAGTATAGATATAAATCTATGTACGTTATATAAAAAATTGCAGAACTGCAGAATATTTCGTATTTTAATAACTTAGTACGTATAAGTACACAGTCTATATAGTAACAGTACAATAATTACTGCCATTACACTGTTAAATCTAAGGATTTGTGAAATGTTTTTTTAAAAAGGCTTTTATTTACGGTAAAGTGATCAATTTTACTTCTTTTGTAAATCGTCGTATTACTTTTACAATTCGTGATTTTAAAATAATATTCGTAATACTTTTAAGAGTTTTATAACTGTTTTTTCTTTTTTTCATAGGAAGATTTAAGTAATTTATTTTTGTTTAAGGCATTACTGTTTGTAGCGATTAACGAATGTTGTTAATGTATAAGGCAAATAATGTTCATAGATACTGAATAAACATAGTGAAAAAATTTAGCCAAAGTATTTAAAGAAAACGACTGCTAAGAAACTCGCGACTTTGCGTTCTGTCTATTGGCGATGTAAGAGTTTATTTGTAACATAAGGACGAACTTTTCAATTCCTTGATACGAGAAAGGGATCATCATCTTCTTTCATTATTTTACGCGTTAATGATAATTTCAAATGTGTACACGTTTGTCCTTTAGTACTTAGTTATTCGCAGCTGTAACTGGAAGTGTAATAAATTCTAGTCGGTTCATCTAGCCATTACTTAATTAACGATAAGTATCGAGCATTGCAATATTGTTGATATAGGAAACATTTATATAATTGAGCATAGGTAGAATATTTACAAATATGATAGTACATGCCACAGGCGTGAAAATAAATTACAAATACTGAGCTCAAATATACAGATATAAAAAGCAAATTATATTGTTTTCAATGCCCCTTCGAGAAACCGTTCTGTTTCTTTTTTATCTTTCATTCGTTAACTTATACTTTTATTCGCTCATTACTATGTGACGTATGATCAAGTTACAAAAGGATTACAAAAGTAAAATAAAATTTATAACGTATAAAATAGTTTAAAGCTGGTTTTATAAAGCATACAATAGTATCATGTATATTGTACAATTTTATGTTCGTGAAACAGTAGTGTATGTACAATATAAAATAAAGCTAAATTTAAAATTAATTAACAGTCTGACGATGCGCACCGTTAAAGCACCACTCGCTTCTACCATTACGTATCCGACTGTTTAAAGAATACTCTGGCCCCGGACAAACTATAATAGAGCAACTGAAACTCAGCGCTTCTCTCCTTCAAACGTTTCAACGTTAATGCCCTGGTTTGTTGCAATTTCTCGTCGCCATGATCACTTTTACTCTCCGCTCTCTCCTTCTCTATGCTCAGATGTTGCTCAACTGTTTTAAACCAATGCAAACTATCTAACTCCAACGACTGATTCAAAAGAGCATTTATGTACGCGATCCCCATTGCGAAACCGTCGTCAGTAAATGCTGCACCTGTTTGGTTTTTTTTAAACATTTTCTCTTTATTTGAAATCGAGTTATCCACAAAACTTAACGTTAACGGGGGTACAATAGCGTAAAATTGTTGTAAATGATGCGACTCGGTGTCTCTGAACGCAGATGCGAACACGTCGACGAGAAGTTTAAAGTATTGTATTCCCTTGGTGAAGTTCTGCACCAGACTTGCGATATCATTTTCCAGGCACCTAGCTGCTGCTTGAGTTATGGGGCTGTAATTCAAGTCCTTGCACATTTCTTCGAAAGACACGGACGAGTTGATGTCTGGCAGAAACGAGATGGCATTCGAACTAGCGTGTAGTCCACCAGATCTGATCAAACGTACGTATCCCAATGCGTTTCCAATTTGAGTTATCAATTGGCGAAACTGATCCAAATAACTCAAACCATCAGGCGTCATGCCAAGCTTTCTGATCCCTTTCTGGAATTTTTCTGCCCTTTCATATGTATAAGGTGTTGCACCGTTTTCTCTTTGAGTCTTGATGAACCGTATGTCTCTCATTAATCTGGATTTTATATGCTCGTCGAAAAGAAACTGCGAAAATGTATGCAGTTTCACGCGAAGGAACTGATACACAAAGTTGACTGTTGTACTCATAATACCGGTACCATGTGTCCTAATTGAATTGGCTATATGTCGAATTCCAATGGTGTTTAAATGCTTGTTGTTGCTGGTGTGTTCGATAAACGTTTGAGTATTTAAATTGTACAAATACTTTGAAACAAATACATGAATGTTTCTCATAATCTCTAAGGCATCCAGACCTTGTTCCAAGGTCTGTGTTGGTAAGTGATTTTGTACAGTATTCAGATTTAGTTTATAATGAGCAAGAGCATGCATCATACGATAAGTTCTCCAATCGTGCAGAGCCACTGTGGTGAGATTGTAAAATACATTATCGAGGTAATGTTCAATAAACCTTTTGGCATATATCATATTGTTAGCCAAAGGTAGCGGTAAAGATTCCACTACTCTTCCACCATCTTTTGCTCCAATATTAAATGGATTAGTAGAGTCTAACTTCAAGTGTGCATGAACATGCAGTCTCAAATTTTTCTCAATCTCGAGACAAGAGGGTTCCAATATGTTTTTTGTTAAAATCTCCTTCAACTGTAAGATCCACTTGCTTTTCAAATCTGATCCTTCCTGTTCGTTGATAGTACTATTGAATGCACCAAATAAATGAGCAATATGACTTATATTCAAATTACTGTCTGCTACGGAAGAGAGGTATGCAGGGATTATATTTTGGTGATGCAATAATATAGAATAGTCGCAAAGTTCATTCATAATATTATGTAACTTGGTAATGGTATCATAACTGTCTAATAAGAACCTTAACTTCAGCATATCTTCCTCTTTAAACGTATCCGTTAATTGGCTGGCACATGCTAAAGCACATCTGATTATTAATCTTCTGTCCGCGCTGGCTGGTCCATTTAATAATTTCATGCTCAGGTTTATGAGGGATAAAGTGTCCAGTCTTTCTTTGCTGTAACCTTTGTCTTTCTGGATCAAACTTTTCCGTGTGTTTTCTAATGTAATTAAAATGCAGTAGCTCAGGTATTGCAACACCTGACTTTGTGATTGCACTATAACTGGTCCCAGTATATAAAACATATTCTGTAAAGACTTTTGTATTTCTATTAATCTACAGATCAATTGAACAGTATTACGATACATTGGTTTAATGAGTGCTGCATGCATGTTCAATATAAAAGATATAGTTTCCTTAATTTGGGATAACAAAACAATTAAATCTATCAATAAAGATTGTTTTTGTCCAATGTCTGAAACTTGGAGACTAGACTTCATTGAGATAGTCTGTATTTCAGTGGACCATGTAACAGCTCTTTGAATTAAATTGTTTACAGTCTGAGATAGTTTTTGTGTCCTAGAGGACAATAGTTTCTCTCCTATTTGCGGACTAATAGCATTAGCAGCTTCTTTTGGTACAAAGTCACTCAAAAATTTACTGGGTATCCAAATAACATTTCCAATCAAAGTAACAGCATAAAATTTCTTGTTGTTCTCGAGCACTCGTTTAATTAATTTTTTATCACAGGTACCAAACAATTTTATTGCCACAACAAGACCGATATTTACCCTGATCCAATTCTTGGTCAATGTTGCACTATTGTTAAATTTGTTTTCTATATCTAAAATCAGGTTTTTTAGATAATTAGTAATCTGTTCGCTCATCATAGGACCTTTACTTACATCCATCACTCGTTCAATAGTTTTAGAAAAAATGCCCTTCTTCAACAAACTTTCTTGCAAACACTTCAGTAACTTATCAAACGTATGAAGTTTTGATTCCATTATACCAAACTGTGACGGATTGTGGATAATGGAACGTACGTTCATTCTATATTTCTTCCATTTCTCTAACAATGATGGTTGAGATTCAATGATTTCATCCAGGGTCAGAACAATTACGAACAGATCAATGAAGTGTTCTATTAGTACCGGTAAATAAACTATTACAGTGCTAGTGTTACCAGACAAACTGGACAGTTGCTCGGTTGTTAAATGAACAACGGTCCACACCCTGTTCACGAAAACGGACAGGTCTTGCAAGTCAGAAAGAAGAGACGTAATGTTCTTTTGATTATTCTCAGCATTTCTTTCCCCGTGTGTAAATAGCTTTTTATAGAAAGATTGAGCCTCTACCTCAAGAAGTCTGATCTCTCTGCAAACTGCGGCAACGGCGGCAAGTAATTTCGCCAAATATTTGTTCTCCATTTTTGTCAAAGATATAATACTAACATCCTCGACAGGCTTGTACACCAGCCGCAAAGGGCCCTCCATGAAATATTCTAACGTGGAATCAGCCTTCCACGTTTTCTCTGCCAATTGCTCAAAAAACTGACCATATTTTCGCAAAAGTATTGAACCTGCTGCTTTGTATATTGTTTCGTCCTTTTTCGCGTTCCATGCTGTTGATTCCATCATTGCTACGTCAATTATATTTTTTCAGGTACACCCACTGACATAGTGGTTATCCACCCCCACCACGGTCGCAGATAGAGCGCGTATCAATTCAAATTCAGCGCACGTTCGCGCCATCTGTACAAAAAAGAGACAAGCGATTCAGACTTGTTATCGACGGATCACTTTATCGTATAACGGTATCAAGTGAAATTAATATTTTCCCGTTCGTATTCTCGTTTAATACATTCCACTTATATAAATAACATACGCAATAAAATAAAGATAATGAAAAAGATTAGGACTCGCTCAATACGTTTACATGGTCACGTATATTTTTAATGTAACGGGACTGACTAGATTCTAATTAGACATGGAAGGGATAAGATATGGGTGCAGATACAAAGAATAA